CCAATTTATTTTACACCACACATTCCTCTATTGGGCCTAAAACCATATATTTACGTCTTTTCTCCAGTCACTTTGCATTAGTAACACAAACAAGAGAAGTTCATGACGGCAGAACTGACTGAAGTCCACGGACATAGAAAGAACAGCGTATCTACACCATTTGCACAGACCACAAAGTCAAAATGTGCTTCTCTTTATTATATTTCCCTTTAAAAGAGCTAAGCGAATGTGACTATTATATTCTCCCTTCCAATTCAATAACACATGTCGTAATAGAAATCCACATAAACCGAAATACAATACAGATTTCTTTTTTCATCACGTTAAAAAGAACACAAGGTGGGTGGCCATGATCCATTGTATCTCAAGTAGTTCGGAGAGCAGACATTTTGGGGAGTTACTCTAATAAACAGACCTTGCATTATAAATGTCATCACATTTTCATTCATACTCCTAATGAACAGGATATTCCTATTCAACACTTTGGGGTGGCTTGTGTTCTTTTTTTCATGACAGATCACACCTGATGCCCTGGTTATGAAATTAACTATAGCTACTTTAGTTATGACTATTGTAAGCAACTTTTAAAGAAATTAAAATGTCAGCATGACCCTATTGCAAGAGAGGGTCAACTGTTCTGCAACATATCAAAACCACAATGAGAAAATGACTATTGTTACATACTGGATCATAATAAAAAATAAAAAAATAAATAAAACATTTTTGAGGGATTTTTACTGCCCTCTGGGCCAACACAAGAGTTGCAGATGTGGTTCTTGGAGCTCAAGTAAAATAATAATATAAAAATAATATAAATGACTAGCCCATGGACACAATGTCATAAAATGACAAACCTTCAATATCAGGCAGCACAACGCTCTATCAAGTGTGGAAAATCAGGAATCTAAGTATTCAGCTTTGACGTGATCAAGTCTCAACACTCGATTGTATAATACAATGATTATCAAATGGAGTAAATGATGTATGTGAAAATCCTCATCCTTCAAACATTCAACAGATAATGAAATCAAACATCAAGTTCTCATCAGTTCTGTGGTCATTACAGACAGTAAGATAGCAATAGATGACATCTAAATCTTTATGAAAAAAATTGTAGTGGGATAGTCAAAATTAAATATATTGCAGTTTAACTCTAAAGGGGTTAGTTTACCCCAAAAATGTAAATTATCCTGTCATTTACTCACCCTCAAGCCATCCTAGGTGTATATGACTTTCTTCTTTCAGCCAAACACAATCAAAGTTGTTTAAAAAAATATATATCCTGACTCTCATACTGGGAGTGAATAGTAACTGAGATTTTGAAGCCCAAAAAGCAGATCCAGCCATCATAAAAGTAATCCATAGGGCTCCATGAGGTTAATTAAGGCCTTCTGAAGCGAAGCGATGCATTTTGTAAGAAAAATATCCCTATTTATAGCTTCTGGTAACATCCGTCTATACACGTTTTATTTTGATCTGTCCTCTGCACTTCGGCCAGAACTCGACTCGAAGCCAGTGATTCAAGTTAATCAAGCTGTAAATATGGATATTTTTTATACAAAACTACATAGCTTCACTTCAGAAGGCCTTTATCAACCTCCTGGAGCCATATGGATTACTTTTATGATTGACGGATGTGCTTTTTTGAGCTTTAAAATCTCAGGCGCTACTCATTCCCATTATAAAGCTTGAAAGAGCCAGGATATTTTTTAACATAACTCCAATTGTGTTTGGCTGAAAGAAGAAAGTCATATACACCTAGGATGGCTTGAGGATGAGTAAATTATGGGATAATTTTCATTTTTGGCTGAACTAACCCTTTAACACTGAAAACAGATGCAACAAGCTTTGTTGTGCTTGAAAATACTGTAAGTTTATAAAGTGTAAGTGTAAGTTATAATAAGTGTACTTAAAATTACCAATCTGAACTTGTTCCAAGAGGTTTCCTTATGTTTTGTGGAACAGCTTATTTGAAGCTATAAAATACGATCCAGTTTGTTTTTGCATAACTGTTACAATGAGTATAAGATGCACTTTTTAGTCGCCACATTGAGCACTGCATCTTTTTATTGTGTCCTGCTCCATCTAATGGTGATGTTCAGGCAAATACTAGCATCACTTCTATTGACCCTCGTTCCAAACCGGTATGATTTTCTTTATTCTACAGAAGTGAACACAAAATACATTTTGAAGAATGCTAGTAACAAAACTGTTTTGGTGACCACTTCCTTTGCATGGCCAAAAAACACAGACATATTTCTTAAAATATCTTTTATGTTCCGCAGAAGAAAAAAATCATACTGGTTTGGATCAACTTGAGTGAGTAAATGATGACAAAAACGTTCATTTAAAAAAGTTACAGTAATGTACTACTAGATGTTCCCATTGTTTTCAAAATCGATGATTAACAGAAAATGCAGGAAGAAACAACAATTAATCAACAGCCAAGAAATTTTGTGTTTTGTTCAGTAATAAGTCAACCAATGTAAAGGTGTTCCACATATAAGCAGAAACAGGTGGCCGGAGGAGGAAGTGAATATGACTCAAAAGTAAGGTGGCAGATAAGCAGTTCACGAGTTTAGCCTCTAGGTTCCAAAATCAGGTCGACGGTAACTTTGTTCCGCTCTAACAGGAAGGGGAGCAACTTGCCGCTACGCTCTGTTTTCCCGCTTTCCCAGGTGAGTCAAATTATGATCGGAACAGCAAAAGGAACTGAAGACAGAGGAGAAACTGCATCTCCAGAGATGGTGAGTCAAATCTCCCGCTTCTCATTAATGAGGCCAACAGAAGCCTGAATAGAAGAGCGCAAAAGTGTTCAATCATAAAACCGTGTCATGAGAACTGGCATAAGTGGTTAGGTGAGTGAAAACAGAAGCTGTGTGAAGTGGAGTGCTGCAGACTACTGAAAGGATAAAGCATATTAGAGACCGTTACATAGCCACTTTCCCTGTGCATCTGCGAGCAGGCACGCCTCATTGACGTTTACGCTCCTAGATGCAGAACCTTGATGTCTGCATGACAGACACTGTGTGCATGCTCCACATGCAGTTAACATCAAAATATCAACATTCTCAGTTTCAAGGAAAGGGATTTCTGAGCAAATAAATCCTTAAATGTGCCCAGGAAGTTCCAGCTAATAGCAACATGCTTTCTTAATTAAGTCTGTCAACTCGCCATTAATTACGGATGTAATACAAGACAGAGAGTCAGAGCAGCTTTTCGTATGCAGTCACGGGCCAGCACTTAATGGTACAAAACGCACGCATGCACATGTGTACATACAGGACCACCTGGCCTTTTCGATGAGATTAACTTCCTCCAACATTTGTTGGTTTTTAATAAGGGGAAGAAAGTTTCACTTGAACGTTTTGTTCAGAAAAAGAAAAATCCATTCCAATTGACACTACATGAGAAGTGCTAATGATTAAAAGCATGCTTATGAGCGCTGTCAGAAGCAAACCTCCAAATCCCTGCGCAACACAGGGAGAAGGAAACAGCATAAAAAAAAACAGACAAAGGGGAGAAAAGAAGGGCGAGCGAGTGAGAAAACTGGTTCTTCAGAGCGACTAGAGAGTGGAGCTCACACTAATGCCTCTGGGCTCTACTGAGGCCTCTTTGGCAGAGACTCTCCGGCCATCACAACATCCATCACTCTCCTCCCTGGACAGACAGGGAAAACACTCAGCCTTTCACCTAGAGAGAGACTGCGTTAGCGGTCCGTTCGCTCTCTTGCTCGCTGGAGAGGCCTCTTAATTACTCCTACTCACAACACTTCATCTGCACCATTAGTTCATGTACAGAAAGCCCTGGAGATCAAATATGAGTTATGATAAATAAAACTTTATTCAAAACATTGTGAGATACTGCTCTCTTGGCTGCCACTCAAATATTATTTGCGTTTTCCCTCTCTTCGGCCTCGACTTTATCTCAGCTAAATCGGCCGAGTCATCTTTGAAGTGGTGATATACTTCTTATCGTTTGATAAAAAGAGAGAACAACGCATCTGAACAGTCAAGGTTTGGAGGGATGCCAACATGTGAACTTCTGAAAGGTTTCAGCACCTCATTGAAACAAGGATTAGATCTTTGGAGCAGAGTCCAAACTGAGAGAGATGGAAATGGAGACCTGAGGGGACATCACTGAGGTGAACAGAAAGGTTGCGTGAGACAACTTTAGGTGTAACGTGTTACATTTTAGCAGTGTCTATCAGTGCTCAGAATATTACACATGCTTATCACACGCTGAGATGCATCATTCCCAGCAAGAAAAAAACATGACCAGTAAATATTTCTGGGCCAAATAACTTTCTGAGGGAGGGGGAAATTTTGCAAAATGGATTAAAATGATGGAATAAACCATAAATTATGGTAAAATGTGTTAAACCGAAGTGAGTCCTACACTGAACTAATTTCTTTAATTAACAAACAATTAAGGTTTATATATATTTATATTCACATACATACATACATACACACAGTTTATATACAATTATAAATATATATAGATGTATATTGGCTGCCTATCAGTTGGCTATTGAAAAAATTTAAAGTTTTTGTTTACATAATATATGTGGGTGCACTGTGTATAATTATTTTATATATATAAATACACACACATGCTTGTATATATTTAAGAAATATTTTCATACTGTATATACTGTAGATGTATATATAATTTATGATATGTAAATATAAATATTTTATATATAAATAATATTTTTTTCTTAAATATACATGCATGTGTGAGTGTATTTATATATACAGTATATATATATATATATATACATACAACATAATTATACACAGTGCACCCACATATATTATGTAAACACAAACTTTTATTTTAGACGCGATTAATCGTTTGACAGCCCTAAAAAAAAAAAAAAACATTGTTCGATCAATATATCAAACCACCCGATACACATTATAGTGCTTTCTATAGCTTGTTCTATTCAAACAATACAGTAAAAAGTTTACAGTTGAGAACACAAGGAAACTCACCAGCACAGTCTACGTTGATCAGGCTGACGGTGGATGGGATGATGGAGGGGTCCAGTGTGTATAAATTCCTCAGGGCCAGATGCACCATGCTGATCTTCAGCCTCTCTGGAAGCAGGGAGAGCAGGAAGACGGGCAAATAGAAGGCGTACCGCAGTCGACAGAGCACAGGGGTCATGACCTTTCCTTGAGGGCTACAGGCCATGCGCTCAATAGTGGGGAAGAGCATCACTGCCTTTACAACCTAAGGGTGAGAAGTACATATGGAGATTTCTTAAACAAACCAAGGTCAGAAAAACGATTTAAATTCCTGCGCTTTTTAAGCAATTGACACTTACACAGAAAACCAAGAACAGCCAAACAAAATGTTACACACTGAGATGTAACGCATAATATTTACGACAGCATTGCAAGTACTTATAATCATAACAAATGACATGTCTTAATTTCAATGCTTACGAGTTATCAAGCCAAGAAAAATGACATGTCTGTGCTCTCGCTATATTATGAAATTGATAGGAGAGACAAGGGAAGGAGAGAACAGAGAGGAGAGAGAGAGAGAGACTTCCAGAAACAGGAAACACCTGCCTCTGTTTGGCCATTGAGTAGAAGGCAGCTAGACCCATTCAGTGAGTAAGACAGAGTGGATGTGCTTCATCTGTCTCTACAATCCTTTGCAGTTGGAGCCAAGTATTTTTCAATGAAACTAAACAGTGCAATATCTTTAATTCTCTTGTGTAAAATATGTGATAGCCAGCACAATTCTTTGTCAGCAGTGCCAAATGCAATCTATTCAACTTCCAACCACTAAACTTCAAACTCAGCTAGTTCTGCAATCCTGAAAGAGTGCTGGTTTCATCACGCCCCGGCAACAGGCGAACAGGCAAAGTTCTGCTGCCGCTGAATTTATCATCTGAACAGGCCTTAAATCTATTGCTGTCAGTGGGAAAGATATCAAAATCCAAATGGATGAGTGATTCACATCCCAGAGTTACTCTGTCATAACAATTACAATTGAGACCATTTCAGAATGGAGATCAAATTAGTTGCTCTGTTTATGTGTGCGAAGAAAAAATCTACACAGTTTACTCAACTATAAACTACATTTTCTGGAGTGAATATGAAAAACGCTTGTAAGACCTACGGTGTTCTGGGTGGTTGTTGCTAAGACTCTACTATCCACTTGGTAAGATGTTCTAAGCAGTTGTTAGTATGTTGCTATACAATTGCTAACGCCTCCTTCACACTGGCAGTTGAAATCAGCTCTGTAATACGCAATACGTTCCCAATGGACGTCGTACTACACAGTGAAAAGCGTCGGGCGCGGGTAGAACAAAAATGGCGGAGAGATTAAAAGGGTTAATTCTGTCAGTTCTGTATGATCTCTGATGAGGGTTATAGAGATATTAATAGGAAGGCTGCTGCGTAGGGAAATTTGCTGTCAGGTTGACATGTCAGGTTGACTAAAAAATGTGATATGGTGGTCAATAGTTTAATATCTGCCTACAATTTAAAGCTACACTGTGTGATTTTTACCCCCATCTAGTGGTGAAAAGGTATATGATCATCCAGTGAATATTAGTTTCTGTTCCTCTCAATTACGATTTCGTCTTAACTCCTCCTACGGTGGCCAATGTAGTCCAAGATTAACATGGCTTCCAGTTCGACCTCGTCCTTGATTGTTAACTCAAACGTAAACGCGAAAGGCGAAGCTTGAATTAACGGGTATGTCCCTCTTTGGCTGAGGGGCAACATGGCGACCAACATTAGAACCCCTTACCCGTATGTATTTTCAATGGCATATTATACACTCACGAGAATACTTTATTACTTGAACGAAGTAAATATACATTAATGAGCACATATATTTTAAAAGAACTAAGTGTTTTTAGCTAAGAATAAACTAAAAGAGTTACACAGTGTAACTTTAATTATATTAACTGCCCTAATAACGTTAGAAAGTCATGAAAATGTAAAAAATGACATGACAACTTATTGTTATAAAATAATTTTTTTTTTTTTTTAAACGTTAAGAATTCAGGTTTGTTTATCAGTACCATAGCAACGCTCAACTTCCGTTGGAATTGTCGGATAGGAACCGCCCGTAGCTTTTCGCAAGAGTTCAAAGAGAGAGAGTTTTTGAACTCATTCGGATGACCAACGGACACGATTTTCTTCGCACCGCACTCGGCCGGACCCGTTTCGGACCCATCCGCATGCGGTCTGCGAATCTACATAGGAAATGAATGACTTCCGGTCGTTTTGGAGTTGTATCGGAGAGGATTTCAACTGCCAGTGTGAAGGCGGCGTAAGATGTTTTGTTGCAGTGCAGTTTCTAGGGTGTTTTGTTAGAATGTTAGAATCGTTTTTGAGATTCTACAATGCAGCTACTAAGGTGTTCTAAGTATGAGTAATAGTAATAGTGATAGTGGCCCCTAATAAATCTATACACAACTATCTAATACAAATATAGGAAGCATGCAAACTTCTCACATAATACTTTTCATCTGTTTTTCACTGCTCGTCCTGATGTGCATCATTTGTCAGACAAAGAGAGAAGGGGGGGGGGGCAGTGAAAGAGAAAGGGAAAGGTGAAGAAGAGGGAGTTGTGTGCGGAGCAGGTGATCTTTGATGTGCAAGTAGTGCTTTTGACAAGAAGCAGTTCCTCTTCCTGGAGGTCACAGGAATGTAACAAAGAACACAGAAAAATCTGACAGAGTCTCTGGGAGTGGCTCTTTAATCAGAGAGACAGACGGCCAGTCATACACACACACACACTTCTACTTCTAGAGGGTTTCTTCTCTGGTACTTCTGAGGTCAGGAAGGGGGAAGGATCGCTCTGCATCTGGAGAAGGGGCGAAGAGAGTTTAAAACGTCACAATCTGACTTCCACGGATCTGTGATGTGAGGGTGCGATCTGATAGTGGAGGAATGTTAATGATGCACAGATCTACTGGAGCTTCAGACAGCATGATGGATCATACGGCAGTCCAGACCACATCTCTTTCAACTCAACCACTAACAGTGAGAATCTCAATGGCAATCGTGATGCAGCGACCGCCTCTCCTCGCGTTAGCACCACTCGGTCCTTTCGATTGATGCCTTGCAGAGGAAAGGGCGATGTATTTAACTCTGTTGGAAGTGTGTGAAAAGGTCCACCTGAAGTCAAAAGCACCTTCTCACCGCTACCCTTAGGAAAAGACTGGTCATTTCCTCAAGGATCCCGAAGGGAAGCAGGAGGGAAATCCCATGATGTCACTTTCATTTTGATGAATGAATCCACCAAGCCAGGCCATCATACCCCTCATGTTCAACCAGCCTGAGAGAAACCACTGCCCTTTGCGTGCCAAACCGAACGACCAAAAAAGTTTTCACAACCGTGTGACTCCAATGGGCTGGACAATCCGTGGTCACGTCTGGGAGCATTAAAATCTGGAGATGTTGTGAGGGTAATTTGAGACAGGTCCATGTGCTGTAATGTTTACGCTTGTGTTTGGCTCAAGCTGTGACTGTAACGATGTTTTATTTGAGTAAAGTATGAAATCACACCAATACTTCAGGACTGTAGGTCTGACCTCTGCTCCCCAAACAGAGGCCCACCCAGAACGCTGCGACACACTTGCCTACAAGTTAAGCCGCACATCCAAGTCCTCATGCCTGGGAAGAGAAAGACACATTTTTGTGTCATGGGAATCGAAGTGTTCCTTTAGAGGAGTAGTTCACTTTTAAAAAATGTTTTGCTGATAATTCACTCACCCCCATGTCATCCAAGATGTCCATGTCTTTCTTTCTTCAGTCGAAAAGAAATTAAGATTTTTGATGAAAACATTCCAGGATTTTTCTCCATATAATGGACTTCAATGTGAACCAAACGGTTCAAGGTCCAAAAGACAGTTTCAGTGCAAACTGCAAACTGTTCAAAGGGCTTAAAACGATTTCAGACGATGAATAAGGGTCTTATCAAGCAAAACAATCGCTAATTAAAAAAAATAACAAAGTTTAAGTTTTATAAGCTCAAATGGTCGCTTTGCTCTGTTCTGTGATGCGCGTTCGTGACTCTCCTATTCGAATTCGAATGAACGAATCTTTTCCAGAGTCAACTCGTTCATTTCATCGTTGAATGAACCAAATGACACGAAAAAAGATTTGTTCATTTTGATATACGAGTTTGAACAGGAGAGTCACGAACGTGCGTCACAGAACAGAGCAAGGTGACCATTTGAGCTTATAAAACTTAAACATTTATTTTTTAAATGAGCAAAAGTTTCGCTTGATAAGACCCTTAGTCATCGTCTGAAATCGTTTACAGCTCTTTGAACAGTTTGCACTGACCTTAAAACTGCAAGGTCCTGTTTGGTTCTCATTGAAGTCCATTATATGGAGAAAAATCCTGGAATGTTTTCATCAAAAACCTTAATTTCTTTTCGAATGAAGAAAGAATGACATGGACATCTTGGATGACATGGGGGTGAGTAAATTATCAGCAAAAGTTTTTTTTAAAAGTGAACTACTCCTTTAATCTATTTTTTAACTGCAATCAAAGTATCTCTATATCACTAATAAAATGCATAGCAACACTTCAGCAAACCAAACTTTACATCTATGCAAACAACATAGAAAATTACATCACCTTCGCAGGGCACATGGCAAGATGGCTGCTGCAAGAGGAGTCATAAAGCACTTTCCTCACCTAAAGGTCCCCAGTGCTCTACCTCAGGCTGAAGTGTTGGCTGGAAAAAGGACGGTAGATTTCAAATCCCTGTTGCGGCCTCACAGCAACAAATCAATTGCTCTCTTTTGACCGTCTATTCTACAACTGGCGTGTATATGGTGTTACAACAAGTACTTCAAAGCAACAGGGAAGACTTTTAAACTGGACTCATGATAGAGACAAACAAATTGAGCACCTACATGTGCAGTGAATCAAACACTACTGTACCTCAAGTCTTAGCAAGGTTTCCAACCTACCTCATGCTGCTCCGGGTTTGAGGCTGAAATCTGCAAAGCTTCTCTTCCAGAAGTGCACTAAAGAAGCCCCTACCATCATTTACACAGCCTGGTCTCTTCAACTCCAAAATAAATATCTAGAGCCCATAGTAACAGTTTCTGATTATCACACATCATATGTTACCAGGCATAATCACCAGGTTGGCTTCCCAGCCTGCAATCTGGAACTAGAGTAAATCTTTTCTCCTTTCGTGCATGTTTGCTCTGAGCCACGTCATAATTCAAAAAAGAACAGATTCGAATTTTGAAAGAAACAAAAGGTCTACATGTTTGGCAATGTTTTAATTGCCTGGAATGAAGCATATTTTTAATAAATTGTGAAAGAGGACCTTCCAATCGATAAGTGTGATTAGGAGGTTGTGTCATCAATAACGAGAAAAAAAGACCAGCTTTAGGTCTAAACTAAAAGTGGCGTGGATGTGGACTGTCTCCAAAACTATCAGAACATATTTTTATCGCACAGCAAAAAAATGGTACTGCACTGGCCCCATTAATGTAGCTATAATCCATTTCCCTTTGCCAGGAGGAAAACACACCCCTAGTGAGGGCAAACACTAAAAAAAGAGGTTGAGAGAGAATAAGGAAAAGGTTTCTGGGTAGAGAAAATGCTTGAAAATAAAAATTTTTTATTAAACTTAAAAATTATTAAACTTAAAAATTTTCTAAACTAAAGGAAAAATATTTTTGTCATTTTGAAATTTTATGCAATCATGTAAATTAAGATTTTATTTGTGACTTTGAATGTGCTGAAATTCCTTTAAATACGTAAATATTTTACCTTCATTTTAAACTCCAAATCAGATAAACGCATTTATTGTGTTACAATATTCAATTATTATAAAATTATTTATACACTGTAAAAAATATTTTCATGATTTGTAATCACAACATTTTTTCTTTTGTAAAATCAACCTAAATAATTTATGTAGTTCAGATAACTTAATATTTTGAGTTTCTGATTGATTAAATCAGAATTAAAACTCTAAAATTTTAAGGCAACCAGGTTACTTCATTTTTTTTTAAGTTAAACCAACAATATTTTTTTTACAGTGTAGAAAATAACAGACCATATCCAACAACTCAATATAAATCAATATAGGCTGTGTACATAAGCTGCATTTTAGTTCAGTGAACGCCTTCTCATCCAGGTGCTTATACCTTGAGATCTGGGTCTCTCTTTATCATCTCCAAGATGATGTAGCAACCGATGGAGTGGCCAATCAGCAGCAGGTTGGTGCCCTGAGGCACATGCTTTTGAAGGAAGGCCAGCTTGTGTTCAATCTGCCCATCTAGCCCAAAAACATCCTTCTCTGTCACAGAAGCATCTTTGAAGGAAAAACAGGGGGAAAAAAAGAATAAAGCTCTCACACCAAACCCAATGTACATTATCACATGGTGGCCAGGACCGTTGCCAATACTTTCATCATGACCTAGAACTAGTAAATGCAGCAAATAACATAATTAGACAAAGCTGCTTAGTTTGATCGATTGTGGAGCTCCGATCACAGCTGAATGTGAATTGTAAAGGATCCAGAAGGCACTTTAAATTCTTAAGCGCTCCATATACGAAGTTTTCTTTCATCATCTTGATCTTGTTCTTCATTATTTCTTTGGAAAGGAGTAAAATTACGCTCTATTGAATAATCACAGTAACTGGAGATCCTGATAATGCTTGGCAGGCTTTGATATTAATATCTTCCTACAGGTGCTGAATTCACCGGTATGAACCTGAGAAAGGGCAAGAATTAGAAAGACAATGGACAGTACAGAAACAAAAGAATGACCGAAGAAGAGAAGAAGCTGGACTGAGGTAGGGTGAGGCTGAGGCATTTATCACAGTGATGAGTTATGAGAGCAGAACTGTTAATGATGAGACAGGGGGAGAGAGGAGTACCAGAGGGGAGAGAGAAATAACTCAAATTAGCTTCAAGACATAAATAGACAAAGTGCTCCTTCATGAGACATCTCACAATATATGGTTTCTGGAGCACACTGCATCTTCTCCTCTTTCTAAAATAATAAAGATATCTCAACTGACGTAGTTGCACATGGCTAATTACTTAGACCTGCTTTATGATGAGAAGTGTTGGAATAACAAATCCTAATGGTCTCGTAGATTACCTCAGATTGGACTCTTGTTGAAAGACATATTAACATATTTTTTATAAATTGTTGTACAGGCAACATATAAAAAAAAATGACACCCCCAAATATAAAAAATTATAATTTTTTTTTGCAAGAATATCCAATATTTGTTTTAACATTGTTTTAATGTAGTATTCAATAGAGTAAAATAGATCTGATACCTCCACTGACCTTCATATCTTTATAGAAGATAAAAATGGAGTTTAAAAAAAAATGAAAGGGGGTGGGGGTGCCGGAGAAGCAGGAGGGGGACCACTAAGACCAAAAGGAGTGCATACTGTATGACCTTAAGGTACAGAAACATGCAGCAGAGATAAAAAGGAAGCCGAAGAGAGGAGGAACCAATGAAACCCATTCAAAAAGTTCAAAACGTTAAATCATTTTCATTGCATAAAATACCAGTGGATGTACAAGAATGATAAGATAAGACAGGGTGAAAAAAAGACATACACATTAAGAGGGGCCTGAGACAAAATGCAAGTTTCAAAACTGTGTGCCATATGTGCATTATAGCTTAAAGCTGGGTTTTGGGATTGATGGAAAATTGCTAGGCAAAAATGCTATGTGAAGAAAAAGAGAGATAATATGACTTGTTTGTGGATTCTGTGGCAATAAGCAAGATATATAACACAATGTATAAACATAAAAATGGATATGTTTTTTCCAAAAGTTCACAAAATCAAACAATCAGTTGATGTATTATGAGTTATAATAATTCCCCAAACGACTGTCTGGATCTGCTCTAGTAATCTTTCTGACAGATGCTCTTTAGCCTATAAAATGTTGATGTTATACACTACCATTCAAACGTTTGAGGTCAAGAGAAGTGAAGATAAAAAGATAAGATTTTATTCAGCAAAAGCGTATCAATCAATTGATCAAGTCACAGTAAAGACAATTTGATGTAATGGAAGATTTCTATTTCAAGCAAATAATGTAATTTTCACCTTTCTTTTTATCAATGAATCATGGAAAAAGATGATTCACAGTTTCCACAAAGCTATTAAGTTTTCACCATTGATAATAATAAGAAATGTTTCTTGAGTAGCAAATCAGCATTAGTGATTTACGAAGGATCATGTGACACTGAAGACAATGCTGTAAATTCATCTTTGATCACAGGAATAATTGACATTTTAATAGAAAACAGTTCTTTTAAATTGTAATTATACTTCACATTATTACTGTTTTACTGTATTTTTGATGAACACTTTTATTTATTGGTTATTCCGAAATTTTAGGATGCTGAGTAGGACCTTAAATGGGGACAAACTCTACAGCATACACATCATTTTAGGAAAAACTATTTAACCAATAATATTGTTTTTAAGATACTGACAGGCTCTCAATCTAGGGCTATTTTCATTCATGAATACAAGCGAGAGATCAGACACTGAGCCGTAAAGTCAGTGACCTGTGCATGCACACACATTTAGCTCTCCCCAACCACTCCTTACCCCTCATTTCCCATTTTCCAAATCTGATCTTGATTTTTTCCCGAAGGTTCCCACTGAAGTTTGCCTACAAAGAGGCCCTACATGTTTATCTACCAGCACAGAGGGGCACTATGAGCTCAGAGCCCAAACACCAATGAGACCAGTTCACACAATGAGCGGCCTCTCAGGATTACCTCATGAACATTTAAGACTATATCCTACATATACAAAACCACCATCAAGCTACAATGACCAACCGAAATTCACATTAAAGCAATCTTGAACTGTTGGAAAGATGGTTAGAAAAAAGAATTCTTCCTATATTACATATCATATTATATTATAAATAAACCCTATTTTTAATTTTATATAATAAAGACTGTGTTGTGTTAAGAAATAAATCACATAACAAATACAGTATCACTCAAAACACTATTTAAATAGCATGAAATAACATTACCAAGTGAAAAGGTGGAGCACTACTTTTTTTAACGGGAAGTAGATGCTATACATTCATTTCACCCTAAACCCATCTCAACATATCCCAATGTTAAATGCTTCTTTTGTAAATCAATTGATATATGCTATCACTATCATAATTATATTAATATTTATATTACCATGCATGTAACATTTTGATATTATTATAGATAATGCGCGCTGTCGAATTGAGCATAATAAGACAAATAACGCGCATTCAGCATTATATTGAACGTGCAACAAATCTTGCTCCATGCTTAATCTTTCCCCAAAGCAGTGAGAACGACAGACAATCTGCATTAATAGACACAGTTTTAGGTGATAATGGCCCACAACAGAAGCATTTCAGTAAGACAGTGTGATTTAACCAGTTAGCAGGAGACCTACACAATATAAAACAAAAAACGAAGTATTTTGAACACCATCGTTCAAGAGCAAGCGATATGCGAATCCTGCATAGAACTACAAGATTTGAGAAGTTGTCAGTAAAATAAAGGGAACACAGCAAAGGTTTAGGATTTTACTGCTGGTATTGTGGTAAAGATGAATTTTAACCACTGATTCTTCACATGCTCATCCTTGGGCAGTGTAAAAAAACTGCCTTTACCTTTACATTGTAGCACAGCATCTTTTCGACATGATGGATCCAGTATCCACAGGAATCAGCTGCAGTGTTTGAGGGGGTTCAAGTTTTCCCTGGTGTCTGCGCGCGCAATAAGCGGGTGGGGAATATGCTAATGTTGGCATCACAATGAAATGGCTTATGACTCGTTTGAGAAAAGATTCATTTCATTGACTCAGAGTTGACTCTTACTTTTGAAAGTCAATAACTTTCCGATTTAAAACTTTGCAGGATGTTTTCATTGACTTAGAGCTATGTTACACGCTACATCCAAATAATCCATAATAGGGGCACTTAAAGACTTTAGTCTTAGCCTATTGTAAGCAATCAAAAATATCCTTCTGGATATGGAACAGGAACAAAATTAAAACAACCTGTAATGGATCCAAAAAAGCATTTATGCAACATATGGGAAAAAAATATATATATAACAAAATAAAGATCTGTTGGCAAGAGTAAGCGATGTATAGGGAGCAGGCTGTTAAATGATTATATCCCCCTCTCAAAAATGTGCAATAAATGTGTGGTGCATATTTCACCCTGGGATCAGGTTAATGAATATTAATGTCAAAAGGAACCACAACAGAGTTGTCTTACTGATTAAAAATGGGTTGATATAGAGGGCTGTTGTAAGCATGATTAGAGGATCTTAAAAAGAAAACTGGAAGTATTTGAAACACAAGAGAATTGTTGTTTGTATGTATGCTTAGAACGCAAGATCTACATCATTCTTTAAAGCCAAAGACAACCAAAATGCAGCTAATGAAAAAGGCCATGATTAATATAGAAAATGTAAAACAACTAATGGTTACAACCAACCCGTACAAAGAGGTATTAGATAACTTTTTAAATGCAGTGTTTAAAAAGGGCCAAAACGCTTCCCACCAATGCCTATGCCTCCAATCAGCAAGACAAACATGAAACCTAACCTGACTACAAATGGTCACAAAGGGTCACATCAACCAAACCGCTTAGAACAATCTATTTCCCTTTTACTATACCCCAGGCAATCTTACAAGAACGAGGGAAATTCCTATTTTATGCCTACTTTAATAGCCTGAGCATAAATTGGGGGCAATTTAGTCATATCGGAAAAGGGAAAGCAGATTTTGACTAGTAACTCTCTTAATACGCTCTGACAAAATGAATGAGATGTGTAGGTCTCGAGGACGGCTTGACCCAGGGCAGGATTATTGACATTGGCAGGGTCCAAAATATTCCCTGCGTTTGCATTAACAGATATTTTTACTGTAATCAAAAGGCATCAATCACGAATCGCCAACCACAGGAACAGTTCCTCTACAGAGATTTGGCATGTTTACCCCACTACCGTTTCCCCCTGCTTTTGTTTATGTTTCCACGACACAGGGATGTAATATGACTTAATATATGCCATTAAATAAGTCGAGCCCTATATTGCCAAAGGGACTGAAGTGTTTGGCGGTGAGAGTTTAAGATCGCATCAATGAACTCTAAGTTTCTCTATGGCTGTGCTGGACTGGACGAAATGAGGTTTCTGTGGGTTCGAATGGCTGTGCCTGCTGCTGACCGCTGGCTGACCAAGTGCTCTTTGAACAGCAGTAAATCAATGAGCAGCATTCACAAGGAAAGCCACCAGTGACTTCTGGAGAAGGAAGCTAGATTTGAAAACCTGAAGTTGTTTGAAGGGTCATCTAAAGAAGAAACCGCAAACCAGATCTGACACCCAAGTCAGTGACGCCACGGTGTTACGGAAAACAGAAGACCACCAATTCTACAATCAGCTAGTTAAAAAAAAAAAAAGCCTGCAAAACTGCAATGACAGCATCTTAGTATTTACTGAAGGAAACATAGGAATATCCAAACAATAAATCCGTTTAATCTAACATAAATAATAATAATAATAGTAAATAAAACGTTCCGTAAGTGCCTGCATGATAAAAAAACAAACACTTCCAAGAATCTCTTTGGCAGATTTTAGTTGATCACAGTCTGATATACTACATCCTCCTCAGCAATGAAGAGCAACACAAGCAGCTATTTCTTCAGACAGGGGCATCTGTGAACCAAATGGCAGAACATGATGAGGGATGGATCATTGAGATGAACAAGACAATGTGCCGAGGAAAGAAAAGCCCAGTATATTTGATACCGCCGCGCTTAAGACAGCCATTGATGGTAATCAAGAATGTCACTCAAAGAGCGGGATTGGGGAAATGAAATTGAACTTTTAATTGTGTCCCTGCTTTCATCTGTGCTGCCTTGGCAAACGCCTGCCGCTTGTCATCTCTTGGCACATTTGAATCCGTTGCTGAGTTTGGACTTTTAATCATCCAGCTCGTGATTGCGTGACATGATATGAACAGCAATGGATGTCATCGTCTTTTGTGTGAGCCAGAGATCAGCTGTCCGTCACTGAATCCTTTAAGACTATGATTCCGGTAAAAGTATTCCATGTGTTCACAATAGACAAGCAACTGTTTGATACTTCAGATTGTAAAAAATATTAAAGTGGTGGTTTACTGCTTTTTTTCTTTGATTGTGTTTATGAGGTGCAATATAACATGTATTCGTGTTTTTTCTTTTTAAAAAGTCTTTATTGTAAGGCGCGTTCTCCTCTGTCATTTGAACGACCGGTTTACATCCTGATTCTAAGAAACCACTCCATCAGAAACAGGCAATGGGCTCAGATTGGTTAGTTTGGGCCGGTGTGTTGTGATTGGCTAAACTGTAGTGCACGTTTTCCGGAAACTTCACGCCCATTACCTTTACGGGCGAAAGTTGCATATGTGTTCCTGTCAAATGTACATAATGGTGTCGATACTGCAACCTCCCTAAAAACGGCTCTTACAAAATGTTTCTGAATGGTAATTTGCCTATATTTTTTTTTTCAACTTAAAACACGTTTGTTTTAAACAATAGCATCGAACTAACTGGCTACTATATACACAAACAGCGTTGGCACTGGTTTACGTTCTTGATCAAATCGAAAAATAACGTCATAAAGTATATATACATGAAAAATACATTTACAACATTAGTACATGTACAAATTCAGGTCCAAAATGTTTGTATGAGTTTGTCGTAGACACGAAATTGCATAACTAAGTGGCTTTAAGCCAGCGTTTGATAAAACTAAAACATTACATGTAAAATTATAGATGCAAATACAGATGAATTATACAAATTATAGATGAAAAAAGTGAAATCGCAATCAACTACCCCTTTAATCTATCCCACAGTTTCACAGACAAGGCTTAAGCCTAGTCCCAGACTAAATGCATGTTCAAGCTGTTTCAACTGAAAGCAACTTGCACTAACATATCTTAAAACATTGTTTTTTCTCAAGATGCGCACCAGCAATATTTTTTTTTCTAAGGCGTGTTTATAAAGCTATTTAAATATCCTAATTGAACTAAGGCCTAATAGTGGCTTAATCTAAACCCGGTCTGTAAAACCTGGCCTTTCCTGGACTAGCTAAGAGATCATTTCAGTTTGCTGAAAATTTCAGATGAGCTTCAAGAAGTTTTGTTCTGGCAGATCTACTGATTTGATTAAGGTAATTTCTGTTTATCGAGTGGCAAACAGACCACAATATGACATACTAAGAAGTGGAAGGTCCCTTGTTTGTCTGGTCAGGTAGTGACCAGTGTTCATCTAGACTTTCCTATCCATCAAGCAAGCCAGTAGAAGTGCTGTTTTTGGAGATCCCAGCCATCTCCATGTGGTTTATCTTATTACAGGTGTGGGCTTGGTAATGTCTTTCCCACGTAGCAAGCTCAATAAAAATGTCCATGCTGCTTTATGGATGATCATGCCGGACTGTCATATACTGGTTCAGGCAGAGGAGGGAGACACAACTTGGCTCGTTCGTCAGTCCCGAATGCATTCCACCTTACTGTGGGCTCTGTGTAAAGATTCCAGGAGGAGCATCCCGCACTCTGACAGACACTACAAACCAGCATATCAGTCAGAACAGTCTTTAAGAGTAGTCCGTACAGTAACTGAAAATAAACTGGTTTTAGAAAGGCTTCCAATGTACCATAAAATTCTGTTTAATGATTTAAAACAATTTAAATTGAGCTTTATCGATATCTAAGGCCGGGTGAATTTAACCAAAAAAATAATAAATAAATAAATCATGTATACAAAGACCTGAAGCATCAATGAAATTTTGTGAGAAAAATAAACATACCGCACTGTAGTGCTATTGATATTAAATAATTATAATAAAATATAATAATAAAATAATTAATTATATTAATACAATTTAATTTAGAATAAATTAAACAAAAGATTTAGCATGCAGAAATAATCTATTGATTACAATTATAATTTAATATTATTAATAATAATCTCTTAAAGAGTAAATTAAAAAAAATGTATTCAAAAGATGCAGAGTAAGCAAAGAATGATAAATAATTATTCCTCTAAATAACTAAAGTCACTTAATTATCTGCTGCCATCTACTGACTCATAACAGTGGTGATGATACTATGGTGAGTCAGAGGAGAGAAAACATAATCTGTGATGTCACTCTATGCACTGTTTACACTATGACATTTATGTAAACCCAAAAAGTTAATACAGGCTTAAATGTTAGGTCATGAAAAGAAAACAACATTTTGACCATTGGCACACACAGCGTGCGATTTGAGAAAAAAAACTGAGGGGGGGATGTTTTGAAACATTTTTATTCATAAAAATCATCCATAAATAATCAATAATTTTTTTTATGATTTTTAAAGATCAATAAAAAATCATGAGAACATGAACTTCATCACTGCATTTGCAGGAATTGTAAAATATTTTTTCTTATTAACTCATGAAGTAGCCTAATGCAATATTTTTACTCTAATAGCTATCTTTCCCCACACATATGAACTGTGACCATGCACAACAACAAAAAAAACATGCTATTAATAAATGAAGGAAATATATCAGCCTTAGCAGAACACGGATTGATTGCAAAGTTAAACCATCACAGTATAATTATCTGTGGCAGTCAATTCGCCTCATTCGCACGTCTACCGCGCTAAACGCCTCAATTGCACCGCAGGACACCTAGACGCACGTAAACACGTCTTTACATTGTCTTGACATTGATATCACTCGCGTCAGACGCTCGAGAGTGAGCGAGTAATCAAAAAACCTTTGCTTTAGCTTCAATTGAGTGTAACACCGTATGTGTAACTTCAGCCATTCTCAGTGGTGTAACTGGGACACTAACTCTGCTTGTCATCATAGAAACAGAAAAATAAGATTGTGATGTTTATTCCCGCTTCAGTAATATGCTGAATATTCTGCCGTCCTTTCGACACACAGCTCCACTGCCCAGCGGACCTGTAACCGTCTCGCAAGTGTTGATAGGCTATTAGGTGTAACCAATCAGCGGCGTGGACTGGACATTGAGTTGATGGTGATTACAGAGAGGAGCAATAGTAGAGCCAGCCAAAGTAGCGGATTTTAAAATAAAATTGACTTTAATCACATGGACCCGTGATTAGTTTTGTGATCTGTCTCACCACTAGTGTAGTAGCACTGATCACTTTGAGGGGGGGGGGGGGGGGGGGATAAATGTATCAACACCGGAGATACAAATAATTAAGCAGAGGCAGGGATGATACATTGACCAGAAAGGGGGAAATCCCACACACCGCACCAGCAAATCGCACCCTGGGCACACAGATATTTGTAATATAGTCCACATTTGTATAGGCTTGCATTCATCAGAGTCAACCAATAAAAAAAACAAACTACTTTGAAGTCCATGAACAACCCACATAATTGGAACAGAGGTTATGTCAACCAGTTGCATGACTTTTGCCTCATGCACGATCACTTCTACATCTTGCTTGGACTGCATATTTGATTTTATGCTCCTGACAGTAATGCTAGCTGAAATGACCAAATCTAGATCATTAGAAAGTGGTGTCCACATACTTTTTTGTTTCTCTTTATTTACTAGCTTTTATATTTTGAAGCTATATTAGTTTATATAGCCTATTTAAATTTCTTAACATGTAACTGGTTTAATTAAATGTTTTATATATATATATTTTTTTTTTAAAGTACGTGTTTTTACACATATAATTAAATACATATTTTGAAAGTTATTAAGATTAATTAATAAGAAAAAAAGTAGATCGGATCATGAGCTGCCTAAAGATTCCCATCCCTACTGTACAATGATTTGTTGCTTCTCTTTGTCGACTAATACAGAAGGTAAAGAACTTTTTTTTTTTTTAAATCGCATATTAAATCGCAATCGCAATATTGTTTAAATGTTGGAGATAGATAATATTGGAGATGTCCCACCTTCAATCATATCAAAGGTTTCCGGAGGCATACAGTGTCCAGCATGGCTCACAGCCCAAACTGGATATCTCTGGAGGAACGTCTGATACAATGTCCGCATGTATGTCTTGTAGAAGCCCACCACACCTGGGTTACCTGTGGAAAGGTCAAAATGTAATTAGGCCAAATATTTGAATTTCTCACTTGTTTCTCTTTCTTCACTATTTCTCACACACAATTTAAGGATGGTTAGACAATGCATTCATTATTGTATTCTAATGCAAATATAAAATCATTTTAATTATTTGTTGCCCCATTTTCCTCCTAAAAATGAGAAAATGTCCATCAGTCTAAAACAACTGTATCAGGTTTTAGAACATTATTTTCCTAAATCCTGGTTTAGACAAGAGCAGGGTTCTGTTCAAGGCTGACGTTTGCTGACGTAGCTGTGCTGGTCTTCACAGATGAGGTTAACTGCGAGTGAGGGGAGATAAGGAGATAAATGGCATCTCTGATACCCAGCTGCCTCCAGTGCAGAACAATGGGCACTCTGTGTGGTCACGGGGGAATTCGCTCTCTCGCTCAAAAGAGTATCGACGGCCCACAGCCTCACAGGCTGATTAATTTACCATGATGTTGTGTGAGGTGAGATCCAAAAACATATCAAACTAATGTTTGAAAAATAATAATGCTTGTATTTTCACAGTGTTATAGAATCACCCATTATTGGAGATACGCACATTTTGGGACTATTGCGAATTATGTAAATTAACAAAACTTTTCTTTTCTAATTCATATTAACATGCAAAACACACTACCAATAAGTAACGTGAAGCCCTAAATGTTCCCATACACTATATGAATAATTAATATCATCCATACTGGTACTATATGAACATACATACTATATACATAAATGAAATTATTCAGAAAAAAACAACAACAGATTTTTCAGTCTGTTCGGTATTGTTTATGTGAATGTGTTATTGCTATATCTATCTCCTAGTGTTTTCTCTTTGTTTAGTAGCCAAAATACAAAATACTTTTGTAGTCAATAGTATTTTTGAGTCATCTCTGTTTGTTTGTTTGTTTGTTTGTGTCTAACATGTAACAATATATAATTTGCATTTGTTATATGCATGTAAAATATGTTAAAAAATTACACGCGTTTTATGTTTTTTTTAATCATATTTGATAAATCTAGCTCATACTATTTTAAGGCAAATAGAGCTCACAATCGAGGAGTAAAAACCACCTCAATTTTATTCAGAGGCCCAAACATAACAAAAATATACAATTTGGTGCAGATGTTGGCACTTATTTAGTTATTTATATAGATTAATATGCATATTACTTTTACTTTTATGATCAAATTAGTATTAATTGTAGACTTTGTGTCAATTGGGTGGCAGAACAAATAATGCAATGTAATACAAATACAATGATGATTAAAAGATGTCCAAATAAACATTCCTCAAAAGCCTGTTGTATCGTAAACCTAAGTTGTCTCGGTGCAGTAAATGGTCATCTTGAAATAATTTACTTTATAAAATCATTAAATATTTCATAGCAAAAAGATGCGTACCATGACCTGAAGAAGGATTGTGACTTGTATGAACTATCAATCAGAGGCATGTAGTAGATGCAACGTACAGCAGATTTTTCAGCAAAGTTGATCATGTTGATAATTTAGAGGCTTTAGAAATTAATGTATTAAATATGATACAGTAGGCTTTCTATGGTTAAAGCAGGGCTGGTGAAGCAAAGCTCTCCACCATCCCAGCCCTCACAGCAGGGGCAGTGTACGCTGAGATACGGTGCACAGATATGAGCGGTAAGGGCCAACACCAGCCCTTGTGAGCTCTTTTCAAACTGATTAAATCCATTTGTATGTTTTTATTCATGCTGAGCATTCCTAAATCTCTTTCAGATGGGAGTTGACATGCTCAAAGTCCGAACTGCTTCAAGACAGTGTTATTAGAAATGGCAGGTTTTTCCCAACCAGTCACCACAATAAAGTCACAGGCTCTCTTGCTCTATAAAGGCAGATGGAATCAAAGAATGCACTGTCACACATGGGCCCACGGATAGATTTCATCTATAAGGGCAGGGGAGGTGGAAGAGGAGACAAGTGCTCCACAGCTTTAAACACCGCTCTACCCTTGATCTGGCTGATCAATAATTACACTTCTTTCAATTTTTTCTGTCCATGCTAAAGGTGAAAATGCTGTAATACAAAATGCAGTAAAAATACAAAACTAAACACAACCCACAGCCAATCAGAAGATATTTGATGTTGAATTTTCAACAACGCAATTCTGGACCAATGAGATTTCACTGTGTAAAGGATTACTCAGCTCAACGTGACAGACAGAGAAAACAAAGATTGTCTTGTCTCTTGACATGACACAGCTGAGAGATACAGAACTCATTGATCTGGCTTCATGTCGATCCGAACCCGGATGACTTTCTTTCTTCCATACAATGAAAGTGGATGGGGGCCAGGAGCTGTAAAGCTCCACAAACAATGAAAAAAATACCATCAAACATAATAAAAGAAGTCTGTATAACTTTTTTGCCATATTTGAACAGACTGAAATTTTAATTTTAGCAGGATGCACCAGTATTAAAATTCAGGCTGATACCGATACTTTCATGTTGAAATTCTTTACTATTTTGATCTAAATAAATTCAAAATAAAATACTTCAAACTTAAAGTCAAACATTTCAATTGTTACAAGTAGATTTAGGCATCATAACAATAGAATGCACAGCATTAAAAATGGAGATTCATTTTGAGATTTGCTTAAGATTACATTTAACAGTGTTATGAAATTAAAAAATGAACTTGAAAGAATGAGAACCACGGTTCTCTCTAAAAGAGGAAACAAGTACTGCATGATATCTGACGCAACATCTTACCCTTGGTGACGTCAGATCCAATGGGGGCACTACACCACTATTACTCAGAGCGCTTGTAAATCTCCTATGCACTTCACTGAAGCAAGAGCCATAAGAAACACTGTCTTGAATGACAAATATTTCATGTCTGATAAATGGATTGGCTCGAACGGGGAGCCTTTCATGGCTTGCAAAACCGTCAAAAGGTCCCACATGGGGACTGAAGCGGGTCTGCGAGGATTCAGCCTCTTAGCTCCCTTAAAGGGATACTCCACTTTTTTTGGAAATAGGCTCATTTTACCACTCCCCCAGAGTTTTACCGTTTTCAAATCCATTCAGCCGATTTTCTGATATTTAGAAGAATATCAGTAACCAGACAGTTTCTGGTCTCATTGACTTCCATAGTAGGAAAAAAATATACTATGGAAGTCAATGAGACCAGAAACTGTCTGGTTACTGATATTCTTCTAAATATTAAAAAATCGGCTGAATACATTCAAAAACGGTAAAACCCAACGGTTTAACTCTAGGGGAGTGGTAAAATGAGCCTATTTCCAAAAAAAGTGGAGTATCCCTGAAGTGATTGTTCTTCCCCAATGACAGGCCAGTCGCTGGTTTAGCAAACACTGCTATGGCCGCCACATAAACCTTGAGCCTGGATGGGGTTCTGCCCTTATACAGTAGCTCTTAAAAGAAGGAGAGAACTTCCGTAACCCCAAAATCTAGGGGTGAAAAGCCTCAAGCTTTGCACCAGCCAGAAAACACAGACCATTTTGAGAAATAGAGTCGTCTAGTAGATGGGACTCCAGCCCTCGTGAACGTTTTTAACACTCCCTCTGGGAGGTTAGCAGGTACCCGTTGATGGCCCATGCATGTAGGGACCACAGCCTCGGACGAGGATACCAAATCGAGCCCTTGGTTTGAGAGAAAAGGTCTTTCCTCATTGGTATTGGCCATGGGGCAGTGCTTGTCAGCTGCATCAGAACTGAGAACCAAGTCTGGTTACTACAGTAGTACTTAAGGCACAGTCTTAAATACTTAATGGCTATGTTTATGCAACTGGCCCCAGGTTAAGACATGGTGTTAATTGAATAGATTAAAATGTGACACTAAACATACCTACTAATGATCTCTTATTTGGGTGTATATTACACCAAGGAAGTAGAAGGTCTCCCCCCCTTTGAAACTGTGTCTGTTCCGTCCCGGTGTTAAAACTATGACAGCCTCTCTATTTGGACATCACAGAGCTAATAGTAAGGCCAAACTAAAAGCTTTGCCTCTGTGTGGGGAGAAAGAATTCAAAGGAGGCATTCCTACCAGAAAAAGACGACAGAAGCATGAGCTATCCTCTCTTCTCCCACACGTTATCATTTCCCCCTCTCACAGAGTTCATAAATTCAGGGCTGCTCACCAGGACGTTAAACAGATACCCTGCCTGCTGTCTCTGACCCCAAGGCTGCCTGGACTACCACACCACTGACGTAGCCTTGCAGGTGCAGGACACGTTCTCACTTTGTCTCTTCCTCTGACACACATCCCACTTGCTTAACCAACCATACCAATTCAAAATAATCAATGCATAAACACCAGCAGTGATGTAGGACCCTATGGATATCAAAAAAATACAATAATCAAGTTAAATTTGTCACTCAAATAAAGAGTCTCATTCTGGATTAGTATCATTGAGACTATTTTAGTAATGTTTTTTATCTTAATTATTAGTTTTTGTTATCTAAATGGTTTTATTAATTGTTATTTCTGTTTATTTTACATCAAGCTAAATATTTTTTTAATATTTTATTTCAGTTAAAGTTTATTTTAAGTATTTTATGTTTTAGTTTGAACTAATCCTGAATTAAACTGAACACTTTAGTTTATTCTTTCATAAAAAAAAAAAGTGCACTATTTAGTAGCATTAAAGCGCCAACAAAACAGGAATCAAGTCAAACAGGTTAAAGCGACCTGACGTAAGGAAGGCATTAGCAAGTGCTGGAATTCGTTCATGCAGACAGTGTGTGAAGTTATCTTTAACTTATTAGGTCCAACATGCCATAAAGCTGATCCAGTCTGCAGAGGGAGAGGAACAAGTGAAAATGCTTATTGACTCTGGCAAACATGCAGACACAAGGGTGACTATAGCCAGATCTCCTTACAGATTGCTCTCTGAGGGTTGTTTCAATCTATTCAAGAGGAATTGTAATCCAGGATAAAAGGCAGTAGGGGATTTGTCAACCTCAGGAGGTGAAAAAGCTTAG